ATAATCAAATAATTAAATTAACAACTATGTCATTCAATTTTCCATCTCTCTTCCATCCTCAGGTTTAACTGCACCCACTAATTATCTCTAATTCAAATCACGTGATCAAACCTTTTATCTGCAATAAATTCCCAGCATTACACAGGTTCTGCTCCTTCTTCAAACAGACGTCTAAAGCTACAAAAAATTCTCTCAGAGCTGTAACCACAAGATGCAGGCGTCTGACATGAGGGAGCAGGTTGTCTTCACCAGAACGGACTGCTTGTTCCAGTTCTTCTTGCATAACTACTCCTTCATATACCAAGTATGAAACCACCTGGAAAAGGCACTCTACATTAGCATATTGTCTCTGTCTGAAATTTTACAAATTGTGTATCATACTGTATATATTTCATGCACACACAACCAATTTACAAAATATTTGGCTTTCATATTAAAGAGGCTTAGGGAAAAAAACAAAACATTGTATAACACATTTATCTATAATAAGACTTGTGTCAAATAAGGCAATTTGTATAAATATATATTGGAATATATTATTCTTTTTCACTCAATATTCAGTGACTTTAGAAAACTTTACACTCGATAAACTGAGGTGACTTCAAAAGAATATCAAATTATTACAATAAATAAAATTAATATCTGAAAAAGTCTACAAAAATATCTAGATCTATGAATGAACTTTGCTAATACTTACATCAACAGATAAAACTGGACAAATTTGTGAGAGTTCCAAATCCAGCTCAACAGCAAAGCGCAGGAAATAAGTTATGAGCCACAAAACATGAGATTTGTCAAGATCAATCTGGTAGGGTAACATAACCTGTAGTCTTAAACCCTGTACCATATTAGAATACCCATTAAGCATAAAGTCAACGGTGAACTCCTTCAGTAAGTTTGAAATATCATCTGCTGTTGGGTGATGATGTAAGAGGGCCTTTGCCTTTATGCTATTGCTCTCTTTGCGTTTCATCAATTTACTCCGCTTGATGTTTCTTTCTTGTAGTGCCTTCTGCAACATTTTGGCTGGTCTTGGCTTGCTCAACATCTTGTGAGGCTTCTGATGATGTGGGCGCTTGGCATGGGGGCCCTCGTCACATTCCGAGCCTGTCGAGTTACTTGATTCATTATTCTCCTGGCTCTCTGAAAGCATCTTCTGTGACATTGTATGTCTGGATCTTTTCTGACCCGTTAAGGGTTTATTCTTAAGCAACTTTGGCAACTGAGGTGGAGGCTTTTTCTCACTTGAATCACCACTTGACCCTGACTCCTCTTTGTTTGGGGGTCTCTTGATGGATTCCTGTGACGAACACATTTGCTGATTCACCTCCTCGTCCATTTGGCCCATGTTATCTATGGTCTCTACTCTTAATGGTGTTGGGTCACAGCCACCATCCTCCATTAGCAATGAGCCAACAGCTGTTAGAATTTCATCTTCAACGTTATGAATGTACTGCGGAGGATTTGGATCCCTACTATCAATGTCTATCTGTGATATTGGGGATTCCTGGCCCATCGCAGGCACTGGACTACTCCCTTCACTACCCCCTTCACTTCCTCCACTTCCTCCTTGGTCACTTTCTCTTTCACTCAGTTCATCTTTCATGTCACATGCGCTATCCTTGACATTGTCAAGTCCTAAAGGTGAGGTTTCCATTTGGTCTATACATACATTTTCCAGCTTATTTTCACTGTGTTGTACATTTATATTCTGGACTTGGTCCAAATTATTTACTGATGATGTCTGATCAGTGGAATATTGCTGACTATCATCATTTGTAGAAGTGGAGTTCCACGTTTTCTGCATACCCATATGTTGACTAGTGCCCTCAGAGACTGACTCTTCGGGAGACGAATCCATGTTAGAACCTGAGCGACCAAACCCACTGTCCTTGCAGCTATCCTCTTTATCTGTCTTTGCAATCCTTGAAGTGTCTGAATTTTCATTACTTTCATTTACATTTGGATGCGTCTTCTCCCCTTTGTTGACACTGTCAACAGGAGATAACCTTTCTGAGGAGTCTGATACTGGATCAGATGTTGAGATGGCATCCTGTGAAGACAACAAGAGTAGGTGTTAAAGGTAGTAGATACCATTTGATAAAACAGATGTTAGTGATTACTGAAATATCCAACTTATATGCTTGTAAGGAGAAGAAAAAATCTACTCACTGAGGATGACGATGACATGGTGTTGTTCTCATCATCCTCCGAACTCTCTGAGAGAGAGGATTCCAACCACTCGTGAATAAGCTTTCGAATTGTGCTTTGCTGCTGCTCACGATACATCAAGGACACAAGCTGCACTAAGGTGACATTCCACAAATGCTGTGAAGAAAAAATTAAAAAGATCCTTTACTGTGATTCCTGAATATTTATAAGGGGGGGAACTGATAGCTCACAAACGAGAGAGAGTGTAGAGAGTGTAGAGAATGTAGAGAGTGTAGAGAATGTAGAGAGTGTAGAGAGTGTAGAGAATGTAGAGAGAATGTAGAGAGAA